GTTACATGCGGATGGAATGGAGAAGAGTTTAGTCACGTGTAGTCACGATAAGGACTTACATCATTCAGAGAAAGTTTCCTCTAATTGAAGTACTATATTAATAAAAATTAATCATCTGATCGTTCAATAAAAACCATTGCTTGTAATGATTACTTCATTTAATAAATACCGAACAAAAGAATGTATATGATTTATTAGATGTTTTATGACTAAACGTTGTTGCCATTGTTTTAAAGACATAAAAATCATTGGAACACAAATACAGATTTAAATAACAAGCATACACATAATAAGGTGTTGGAAATTGTGTACTTTTAGTTATAAATTCATAGCTTTATTGAGGAGAACATTTTCCTTTTTTTTAAACTCTAGAACGTTTCCGATAGCTCTACTTTCTTTAACAATACATGTTGGAGTAATATTACTGTTATGTTTTCTTTAACAATGCATATTGGAGTAATATTACAGTTATGTTTTCTTTAACAATGCATTTGGAGAAATTTTACTGTTCTGTTTTCTTTAATAATGCATGGTAGAGAATTCTAACTGTTGTATTGTCTTTAACAATGCCTAATGGAGTAATCTAACTTGTGTTTTGTTTAACAATTTATGCAATAGAAAACTGATTACAGCGTTTCCTTTAACAATCTACGTGCATATACGTCCTTTGTAAGGGTAAAAGGCAACAGCGTGTAATTCTTTGTTTCACGCGCCAGTGTTTCCTAAGTTTTTCATTCTTGTACACTTTTAAGTCAAAGTTGAAAATAATTTCTATAAGCTCTAGATTCTGTTTAGTATTATTACATTATTTAATACCATATTAAAATGAGTATCGAAGGAAAAAGATACACACTTGATCAACACTGAGCAATCTTTCTCTAAAGTATTTTAAACTCAAACTGTGATGTCATTCACAAATAACTTGAGTTATTTGAAAACATCATTATTCTTGAGCGTTGCGACAAGAAAGACGCTGCGTTACATTAATAAACGGTCACTTAAAGTTCACAGACGTATGAATCATATATTTTTAGATCCTAAAACACACACTGGTATGTACTACCACTGTTCTGCAAGCGCTGCTATGACTTTCAGTACTAACAGAAGCAATAAATAACTCAATGCAATAAAACAATACAATTTTAAGTTATATTGCTCTATTGCACATTCATGTAAGAAGAGCTACCTATTGTGAAGTAATTAAAAATGTAGTAATTTTAAAGGTACGAACATGTTTAATACACTATATGGAAAACCTGCAGATAACATACCGTTAACTGTTTGTTATCTAACTACAACCCAGATCGTAACAATATCTGTTTTGCAAAATAAGATTTGACGCTCGATCTACGAAACACATGTTTAGGTCGAGCCTAAAACTAAAACACATTTTCTGTTCTTGCCTTTCCCGCCATTAACGACATTTGTCAGTCCAACCTAACGTTCCACATCACTCCGTTTTAACACAGAGCTTCTGTTCGTTCTGATGCATTTTTGAAAACATATTCTTCCAAGTTTGCTCTCAAATGAATATGTTTTTTGGGAAAATAACAACGCATACTCCTTTGTCTGCTAATCTAATATCTAAGTATTTCAGAGCTGTTTTTCAAGCATGTACGATTCCATCAATGATGCTTCTAATAATTAACTAATGGAGAATCGTGTCGGTCTTTATTTTGAAGAGCCCTAAACAAGGGGGGATCTCTAAATTTGTAATGTTATGATACATTTTCAAAATTACGGGTGACAGCTTGAATTTGGCCTCAGAAAGATAATTTTCGAAAACCTGCAAAGTTTAATATATGTTTAATGGAATATTTTAAACTGGCATCTGGTTTCTCTCTTTATATACTCTCATTTTTTATGTGTTTTAAATGAACGTAGGCTAATTTTAAAACGTATAGGGAACATAACACTAAATGATTCTGTTCACGCATGATTGAATTGAATCCTGTACTAGTAATAATAATAATACTCAAAAATTATTGATTTTCATTTTCACCAAATGTCAGAATATAAATAGCAAGTATACCGTGTACAAAACCTGTACAATTCAAAGGTTGCTTTTATTATCAGCGGTAGATTTTAGCCTATGATATACTTTAAGCAAAATTCATATAAGCACTGTTATAAGATGTGAATTAAGTTGGTAGTTAGCTTACATAATTGTAATTCAGAAACATTAAAGGTTTGTTTAACTATTGTCTGCATAATATCAATACAATATTTTTGTTAATATACCCTTTTACGTTTAGAGGGAGCCACATTTTTTACTGTGACGCCATAGCGCAGCAGTATATAATTTCTGCTGAAGTCATTAGAATGCTATGCAGATGTAAGGATGGCGGATGGTCGGCGTTAAAAAATTCTAGACCTAGCTTTACAACTTGCATTAACACTGAAAACAGAGAGTGGGCTTTAGAAGACGTAGAAAGAAGTTATATTATATTGTCTTAAAACCAACCTCATAGTAATGGAATTTCAACCCTATTCCTAATTTCCCAATGTCGTAGTTAAGTGTTATATGATTTCAATCAAACCCTGTTGTTGAAAAGAGGAAAGATATAAAGTCAACCATTTGTTTTCTATTATTAAACGTTCCTGTAACATTATTTACATCATTACAAGGAAACTTCTAAACTGTAGGAAGGGCTTTGTTTAACGCATTGGTTTGTACGAAATAATCTGATAGCAGAACAACATCCTACTCTACTGTAATTGCTTAACATTAAAGAAAACAAACAAACTTGTAAGTTATTTTGGTGCTTATTTTATAAAAGGCAGTAGACATTCTGCTATTGGAGAATAATTTATCTACGTCACTTATATCGTCAGGCTTGTGTAGTGAATGGAAACAATATTGGTGGAGATACAGGTTCATTATATGACCGTTCATATTTGATAATATAATATATACACGGACCTTCTGATTACATTAATCTGACCCAAGGATAGCGTAGTGATTAGCGTATAAAACAGGGGTTCTCAGGGTCTCGGGTTCGAGATGCGGTGTTATAAAACACACTTTGCACTTTTAGCTGTGTGTGTCTTTATAAAAGTGACACTCAATCCAACTTATTCGGCTAGAAGTAACCGCTTCAGGAGGCAGGTGGTGCTGACTTGTTGCCTTTCATTTGATTCGCGGTTTAAGATTAGGTACAGCTATACATGAACAATAAAAATTTCTGACATTTAGCTTACTGTGTGGATAAGGTGTCGTTCCGGAGAAAACAAACAAATATAACTTACAGTCTTTATTATACAAAATGAATGTGAAATTTTGAAATGTCTCAAACATCACATGATTAAATAAGCCAGTAAAAACTTTTGCTTTTGGTTTTAATTAAGCCTCATTTGCATCCGAAACATTAGCTTATTCAGTTCTATAGCACAGACAAGAATCACGATATTTCTTTGCTTATTATTACACGTGTAAATTATCACCACTATGTAAACAAGACTCGTGATATGATTTATTATTGTACATTTCAACAAGGCTGTTGAACAAACATCGGATGAAGTCACACGTCATTTAGTTTTATTTTAGTAAGTCTAGAGATACTAATGGAAAGTTGTGAACTAATTCTATAATTTAAATATGACACAAAGCCAAACGATAACATTTCAAAATATTTAAAAGATGTATATAGTATCATATTAAGCTACTTTTGTGGGAAAATCTCAATGATCTGTGGTAACATAAACCACGATGAGAACGCACAGCCAAGAACCATACTCTTCTTACACATTTAGAAATATAATTCGTGATTTCTAACTTAGAATACATGATTTATTATGTCTGTGGTTCCTGTGTGTAAAAGAAGTAAAGTACTAATACAAGTTAAATATATATTTAATGTTAATATCTAATTACACACTACAACTTTCTCTGTAATTTGTAATTACACCTTATAAATAAATTTAAGATTATTATGGTCCCATAAAACATAACAGTTTAACATTAGACTAATAGTAATATTCTATTGTCCTCTGTTTCTCTTATTCAGAACGTTTTGCTAAACTGTTCTAGTTATATGAATCTTTTTTTTCCTTGGACACTTTGAACAAAGTCTGCACTGATAAAGAGGAGAACTTTATTTTTCCTCAGAGTATGCAGGGTGGACTATTTTATTTTTGACATTTAGCAAATAAATGATTTTTAGTAGAAGACAAATATATATATGTACGTATTTATTGGCCCCCAAATTAAAGGTTTTCTTTGAAGTCAAAGATCGTTTATTTGCAAAAGAATGTTTTAAATTTTGATCAGATATCTATTAAAAACTTCTGTTGATTTAATAAAGTAACCCCCCCCCCCATTTCCGATAGACTACCAAACAAAGGTAACCTTACACCTAAGAAAGAAAGCGAATTTTTTTGAGATTTCATTATCTGGTGGAAGAACACCCCCTACCTCACCCTTACTAGGAATCCTGAATCTGCCCCTGAATAAAGTAGTGATTGTAAAGAGGAACAAATTATTTTTAATTTATTGTCCTAAAACATGGAATATTATTAAGAGTGAAAGAATAATTCTCACATGTTGAAGACCACTGTGCTGAACAAACACAAATCCAATAACACATGCACAATTTATAAGTAACGTGACTGACCAGTTATCATACATTCATCAAGAATGATTAAGAAACTATATGCAAAGATCCTTCAAACCCTTAGTGAAACTGATCATTGTACTTTAACAGTCAAAACTAACCCTACATCTTAGCTCTCATATAAGTCATGAAATCTTAACTATATCTTAACCAATAACGTCTGTCAATTTACAGACTCTACAAAATTGGTTTGCAAGCCACAACCTGTATATTCAGTAATATAATGTAGTTATATTTAGTTCTATGACAACTATTACAGTAAATATCAGTAATAATTATGCGAAGTTATTTTAAGTTCTAAATTTTGTTTAATATGATCGGTGCTTGAATTTTATTATTTGTATGAACTATAAAAGATCTAATCGTATATATGTCATTTTTACTAACCGTGTGGTCCCCTGTAACCGTGAACAGCCCTGGCGGCTGCAGGGCTGGCATAGTAGCTTGCAGGGTTTACTGGGTTTCCGTTACTGTCCAGGGAGTGAAAGAAGACGTCCACATCGTCTGGAGCGAGTAAGTTACCAGAGCCATCTAGTCCGGATCCCATACGAGGTCCATCGTAGGCCCAGCGGTGCGCTGCGGACTGGCCCTGTTCGGCTGAGGCCATATCCATGGCAGCCCGCCCGTAGGTTTGTTGGAAATCCACGATGGAGGAAGAAGGAAGGGCTCCCAGACTGAAGCGGTTCAACAACCGTGCCGGCCTTGTTTCTTCTCGTATTCTATGCCAGAGAAGAACGATAACAATTATGCCTTACGTGAAAGTAACAGAAGGTACGTTTCCATTTACTTTTTCCCCCCTATAAAACTAGGAATTCTTTCTGGTCGTTATATGTTTTAAATATCACACTTTATAGTTATATTTCTTATTTTGCAGTCCTGAACCGGAAATCCAAAAATTCAAAAATTCGCAAAACCAACAGAGAACATTATCTCCATAGTTGTAGAGACTTGAAGTAAACAAACACGCTACGTACCGCGCGAGAGGCACATGTACAACGCGTCGTACGACGCTTGATAACTGCTACGTGCAACTCACTCACTCGAAAACAGCTAATTCTGCTGTTCTGTTGCCTCGCGAGTTAGCTTCGCCCTTTTGCCGAAGCTCTCCTAACTGATACGACCAGCTACGTGGCTGGGAGGGTCGGGCTACTCTTGGCGCCAGGGTGTTAGCTATGTGCTTGATACGTCTGGCCCCTTAACTTTAAACAATCCAATCGACGACCGTCTTTTATTTTCAAGCTCAGCTATGAGGCTGGATCAGACATGAAGTATAGTGTCTGACTGGCTAGATGTTCTAGACCTGCTGGCTAAGCAGTTCTAAAGCTGTCAGTCATTTTGTAGTTACCGCCCCTTTACTGTAATGACTAATTAAGAGAACAATAATACAATGAGTCCTCATTCAAAATGTCTGACGCTTTACGTTTTTCAACCGGACTAACCCCATGTGGACATTGAACTGGGGCCCGAAGCGGAGAAAATTGTCGCTTAAAACCATTGGTTAATGGCCACAATGGCGTTGTTTGAGCTACACTTTAGGGATCTAAGGTCGTTAACTGGTTTGTTTATCGTAGTTAGAATCAATGGAGCGGCAGGAGGAGGAGCATTATGAAAACCATGGATTGTGAGTACACTCTCCTTAGATTTATGATCGAAGGGTCACGCTTTTGCTGGAGAAGGGTAACCTTCACACCACGATTTTCGCCATCCAGATCACTGCCCATTGTTCACGTTTGGTGGTGGTGCCGTTTTATGGCATTACTCAATTTTTTGAACGCTAAAGTATCACGCTGCTGACAAGTACAATAACGAGGGAAGTTTCAAATAATAAATTACCGAGTCATCGTGTAACATGTGACGGTTTTTACCAGTTTTTATTCCTAAACGGTACTTTTTTTATTAAAATTACTGACGCGAGAAAGCTTATAGTATTATTAAGTCAGTGAGTCACGTGCCTAGAGTGTCCATGTCAACACAAACAGACATTACGTTGACTTTCATATTGAGAACAAAACGTCTATTGCGTCATTACTTGTATAAATTTTTATACACCAAAATTGTCTGCGGAAATTTTCAAGTAAAACACAATGAAATTTATTAGCATTTTTTTTTTCTGTTATCAATGTGAATTTTTGTTTAAAAAAAATTGGGTGTCTGTAAACTCAAGTACCGTCATAATACGTGACAGAAAATTAGAAAATGTTCTTTAACAAGGAATTTCAGTTCCACACTTAGATTTCAAGATTATTTAAACTGCGTTTTTCTCGACACAGAGTGATAAAGCTCGTATAATAAAGAACAGAAAATTTTAAATGTGACGAGAAGAAAAAAGCCATTTAATCATTTTCAATAAATCATATCCTCAAAAGTGACATCTGCGTTTTAAAACATTCACAAGCTGACAGACGTTTTATAAGACAAGCGGAAATACACTCATTTCAGAAGGACGAATAACGCTGCAAACCTTCATTTAATTCATTAAAGTCCTTTCATTTCAACTCAACCCTATATCAATTTGTAAAATCCTCATATTTTCAGTTACTACTAATTAGTTGTAAATGCGCCTTTAATTTCGACACATTCTTAATAATCATTTCATCATGCTTTCCATAGTTTGATGACTAGGAGTAATATCGGCTCTACAATCATATCAGAATGCATCCTTCCAGTCATCTCTTGCAACGTTCAGATTTATCACTTGTTAAATTAAGACTAACGCTTCCTAACGCTGCCATTTTTTATCAATATCTTCGAAATTTATTTTACCTCTTTTAAAACTGTTATATCTTTTCACACTATAAGATCAGCACTTTCTATCACTGTTATTCCTCTTCATACTATAGGATTAACAATTTTAACATTATGATCCTTATTCCCACTATAGGATCACCACTTTCTATCACTGTTATTCTTCTTCATACTATAGGATTAACAATTTTAACATTATGATCCTTATTCCCACTATAGGATCAGCACTTTCTATCACTGTTATTCCTCTTCATACTACAGGATTAACAATTTTAACAATATGATCCTTATTCCCACTATAGGATCAGCACTTTCTGTCACTGTTATTCCTCTTCATACTATAGGATTAACAATTTTAACATTATGATCCTTATTCACACTATAGGATCAGCACTTTCTATCACTGTTATTCCTCTTCATACTATAGGACTAACAATTTTAACATTATGATCTTTATTCACACTATAGGATCAAAGCTGTTTTTAATAATATATTATCACAGTTCTAACTAAAATCAACAATTCTAATGTTGTCATCAATCTTCACACTAACAGAAAACTTCAAAATATTGGCTTTATTCTTCATATTTAAAACAATACGCTCTCATACTGTTATTGATACTCGCACTGAAAATAATACTTTTTCACATTGTTATGGTTCTTCACAATGAAAATAATACTTTCTTCTCACATTGTTATCCCTATTCACTCTGAAAATACTTTCTCACTTTTATCATTCTTCACGAGGAAAAAAACTTTCTCAGTCTATTATCACTCTTCACACTAAAAGTAATATTTTCTCACATTGTTATCGCTATTCACACTGAAAATAATACTTTATCACATTGGTATCGCTCTTCACGATAAAGTAGAGTTGAACTATTTCAGTTATCTTTTATATTTCTCTAATGTTTCATAATATTTGTTATTAATTAAAAGAGAAACACCGTTTCATCAGTTCTGGTGTTTTACAGAATACATCTTAGCGTCGCATGCATGTAAATACAGTTTTAACTCATCTTATGGTTTCCTGAAGATTTTGTCAAAACAACCATCAAGAAGACGAACCGGTCTTGTGAAATCTTATAATGAGTGAAAGGTCACGTTCTTAGCTGTCTAAAATTGTCTGAATATAGTCATGCACAGGGCCGTTACACACTCTTCTTCCTGGAAATTCGTATTGAGTCAGAAAAGAGTGAATACCGTATTTTTCGGTGTATAAGACGCACTTTTTTACCCCAAAATCTGATGTCAAAATCTGCTTGCGTTCTGTACACCGAAGGTATGAATAATATATATGTATATATATATATATATATATATATACGATAT